TTCTACTCTGACACACACGGGGCACCATGAGTGGGATCTACTTATGAAAACTCATCCACTGAGAACCCTGTGGGGCACAGTTCTACTCTGACACATACGGGGCACCATGAGTGAGGTCTACTTATGGAAAATCATCCACTGAGAACCCTGTGGGGCACAGTTCTACTCTGACACACACAGGGGCACCATGAGTGGAATCTACTTATGAAAATCATCCACTGAGAACCCTGTGGAGCACAGTTCTACTCTGACACACACATGGGGGCACCATGAGTTGAAGGTGACTGACGGCAACTAGTTTAAGTAGTTTGTTATACATCCTAACTTACTTGTTGGTATTCTCCAGTGCTCACAGAACATGGTACCCAATCTACTTCAGGGGCTACTGACAAAGAAAGGGGAAATGTGTCCAAGTGTGTGCTATTCACCACTCATGGTGCCCATCTCTGAACCTCTGCTGAGGGGAGCGTGGTTTAAATTTGCAAACATTCTGGTTAAGTCATTGAGTTCGCCACCCTGGGACTGGACTCATAATACGAATGGAAACATCGAAAGCCTATCTAATGATATTGATGGTTTTCAACTCTGCCAACAGAAAAGCAGAACACTGACCCATTGATTAAGGCCTTTGAAGTGTTTCCCCTGTGGCCCACCTTCCACCCTAACCCACTTGTCTCCCTAGGTTTAGAGCCCATGCACTCCAATGCATGCAGTAGTGCCTAACGGATTGATTCTTACTGGATAAAAAGTTAAAAAACCGAATTAATATGAAGAATCCAACTTGAGTTATAGTTCATTAATAACTTCCTTATTGATTTGTTTGCTTTCTTAAAATAATTTTTTCCCTATGTCAAGAAGCTTCAACAAGTTTGTGGGGAAATGAGATGAAAAGAAAATGGAATTCTTCCATGGAGTTTTGAAGGACCCGTGCTGGTGAGCATACTGGCCTTCCCCTGCCCCCACACACAGCGTCAGCCTGCGTGTCTACCTGTGGCTCCTCGTGTCTACCTGTGGCTCCTAGGAGTTGCGGCTTGGCAGTAGCGTCACTGAAGGACTGGGTGGATAAGGGGACTTCCTAGGGTATCTTCTACTCTGGGACACCTCACAGTGAATTTTTTTTAAGAACACAAATCTTATGGTTTTGTATGTCCTTGAGGTTGCTCCTGATGTCTCAGAGGGGTGCCCTTCCCCAGGCCCTCAGGGACTCCCGTGAAGATTGAGCCCCCGAGCCCTGGATGGGGAGCTTTACCTTTGTAGAGTGTTTTGGGCACCTGGCAGGTGTGCCCGCACCCATTGGAGCAGCACTTCTTTAGCCCGGAGCACTCTCTGTCCCCTTCGCAGCTCTCCACGCAGGCGGCAGCGAAGCCGCTGGCCTTCTCAGGGGACGGGCAGTCCCCTTGCTTCACTGCCAGGATGTACTTGAGGAACTCACAGCTGGTCAGACATTCGTAGTTCTTCTTTGGGAAGAGAGGCTGCGGGAGCCAAGGACAGAAAGGGTCTCTCATTAGAGATGAAGGAATCAGATCTCCTGGACAGGAAAGTGGCAACCGTGCTGCCTCAGAATGTCAGCGCGCCCCGGAGCGCAACCCCCTTCAGGTCCCCGCAGTCTCATCTCCGGGGACGAGGCCAAGACTACAGCTCTGGACTCTGCCCGACACCCATGGTCTTCGTGCACACACACTCATACAATACGTGAAATGCAATTTGAAGACAAAATTCCAAAACCAGACCTACTGCCTTCAATTCAAGTCCCAGTCTTCACTACCCTCTAGTGCAGAGGTCAACTGCTCCTTAGGGTTGCAAAGACTGCCAAGTAGTTACCGGAGCAGACAGCCGCATCTTCCTCCCAAGGAGCAGCTGGTGGGTGTGAAGGACTGACCTTGCAGTTAGCAGCCCAACCCTTAACCCATTACATCACTGTTGTTGTTGTTGTTGTTGTTGTTGTTGTTGTTGTTGTTGTGAAGTCCCATCGAGTTGGTCCCGATACATAGCAACCTTCTGTAGGGTTTCTAAGGAAGGGCTAGTGAGTTTGAACCGCTGGCATTGTGGTTCAAACTAACCTTAAGGTCTAGTACTTATCCTTAAGCGCCACACAAGGACTCCCACACCACTTTATTGTTGTTGTTAGAGTAGTAGTTACGAATGGGGCTGCGAACCACAAAGTCAGCAGTTCGAAACTACCAGCTGTTCCGTGGAGAAAGATGAGGTATTCTGCTCCCGTAAAGATTTACAGCCTCGGAAACCCTGTACAGGGTCACTATGAGTCGGAACCGACTCCACGGCACATAACAACAACAAGTCACCTCTGGCGCATAGCAGGGAGCAGCAGGTGGGTTTGAACTGTCGACCTGTGGTTGGCAGTGCAGTGCAGATCCTACTGCGCCACACCAGGACTCCCCTATGTTGCTAGGGCTCCTAAGTGGGAAATTGGACGGCGATGTTGATTCCTGAGACCCCACTGGTTATGAATATGCTGGGAAATGAACTGTGTCCCACTCCACAAATGCGTGGTCCGAATCACTCTGATCAGTAGTGACAATTACATTTGGTTGTGGGTTCTCTTTAGTATGCTAGTGAGCCAGGCTGAGGGTAAAGTGAGTCCTCATCCAAACTTCTGAGATATCAAAGGCGAAGATGAAGCAAGCTGGGATGGGGGCAGATGCCTGGCTGGCCACACAGAGATTATCCAGGAACCAAGAGGCAGGAAAGGGAAATGGACATTCCCCCAGAGTCTACTGAGAGAGAAAGCCTTCCTCTACAGCCCACACCTGGTCTTGGGACTGCTACCCTCTTAAACTTCAAGAAAATAAATTTCTATTTGTTAATTTGCAAATTACCCTTGTGATATATTTTTGTTACAACTATAGATAACTAAGGAGCTCTGGTAGCGTAGTGGTTACGACTTGGGCTGTGAACCGCAAGGTCAGCAGTTCGAAACTACCAGCTGCTCCGCGGGAGAAAGATGAGGCTTTCTACTCCCGTAAAGATTTACACCCTCGGAAACCCTGTACAGGGTCGCTATGAGTCGGTTCCGACTCCACGGCACATAACAACAACAACAACAACAACATAGATAACTAAAATAGAAGTTAAGGATGAACTTCTAAAAATTATTAGCCAGTATCTAATTTTAAAAAACCAGTATTGCTGGTGAATAGTCTTTTAACATTTATACATCTATATACAGATGTATATGGAGACCTAGTGTAGTGCTGTGGGCTAATACGTCAGACTGCAAAGTCGTTTGAACTGCAAGGTTAGTGGTTCAAGCTCACCAGCTGCTTCTTGGAAAACATACACAGGGTTGCTGTGGGTCGAAATTGATTCAACAGCACTTAACAACAACATAGTTGTATATTTGTGTGTGTGTGTATATATATATGGAGCTCTGGTAGCGTAGTGGTTACGAATCGGGCTGCGAGCCTTAAGGTCAGTGGTTCGAAACTACCAGCTGCTCCGCGGGAGAAAGATGAGGCTTTCTACTCCTATAAAGATTTACACCCTTGGAAACCCTGTACAGTGTCGTTATGGGTTGGAACCGACTTGACGGCGCTTAACAACAACAACAACATATATATATTTGTTGTTGTTATGTGCCATGCAGTCTGTTCCGACTCCCAGTGACCCTGTACAGGGTTTCTGAGGCTGTAAATCTTTACGGGAGCATAAAGCCTCATCTTTCTCCTGTGGAACAGCTGGTAGTTTCGAACCGCTGACCTTGTGGTTCGCAGCCCGATTTGTAACCACTACGCTATCAGAGATTTTGTATATAGATACATAAAATTTGGCATGTGTGTAAGAAAGAGAGGCAGGGATGGAATCCATTATTCCCTCACTTTTAATGAAGAGCATCTGCTAAGCATCCTAGTGATTTTGTTTTACTTTTGAAACATACAAAGTTTATTCCTCTATCTATCTATCTATACTACATCTATCATGTATAAGAATGACTTGTTGGCACATAATGTACGTATTTTAGAAGGAGTTGTTTGCAAATTAGAGGGACTTGTTGGCACACAATGGGTGTATGTTAGGACTTGTTGGCACACAAGTCATGTACATTAGAAAGATGTGTTGGCACACAATGTGTATATATTAGAGGGACTTGTTGGCACACAATGGGTGTATAATAAATAGAAAGACGTGTTGGCACACAATGTGTGTATATTAGAGGGACTTGTTGGCACACAATTTGTTGACATACGTTCGAAACCAGGGACTGCCTGTATATGAGAAGGACTTATTAGCAAACAAAGGTATAGACACTGTATACTGTACGGTGTCTCTGCCAGCAAGTCTGCCTTTAGTTTGCCCCCATCCTTTTAAGCGTGAATCAGGCGGTTTTGTAGGAGGCCTGCGGGTCTCTTCCCTCTCTCCATGCCAGGGCGTCTCTCCAGGTTCCAGCACAGCTCCCTCCCCATCTCAGTCATAGCCAGACTTTAGAATGTGCACACGGAACTCTATGGCACGGTGGGCTGAGTGCTGAGCTGCTAACTATGAGGTCAATTGTTCAAATCTACCAGCATCTCAGCAGGAGAAAGGTGAGGCTGTCTGTCCCTGTAAGGATTTACAGTTTGGGAAGCCATAAAAGTAGCTTTGGAGTCCAGTGTGGCACTGTAGGATAAGCTTTTGTCGTTGTTAAGCGCCCTCGAGTGGGAACCCATAGCAACCCTGTACAGGTTGGTGAGCTTGACCCACTGACTGTATGGTTCAAACCGACTTTGCATCCCAACACATTACCCCACACTGCTACACTGGACTATTAACCATAAGGTTGGCAGTTCAAGCCCACCATCCGCCTTGATGGCACACCACCAACAACAAAGATCAGTTCTACTCTGTGTTGTAGGGTCACTAAGAGTCAGAATCGACTCGGTGGCAGCGGATAGAGGTGGTGAACGCAGACATGGTGCCTGTCATGCATGTGAAATTGTCAGTGGAGTCTGTAGTGAAGGAAGAGGAATTTCTCTGAAAATTGGCATACCCATATGTTGCTCTTGGTAGTCAGGTCCTAAACAGCAGCTTGCTAACTCAATTAAAGTCCAAAGTGATCCAACATGAGTAAGCACTGGTAATTCTTGGCTCCTTAGAGAGCTGACTTACTGAAAAAGCATGAGCGACGTGAAGACTCACTAAGCCAAGGTCCAGTTTTCTTTAGGAAATCATGGTTGGAGACAGCAGTCAGCTGTCCCAGGATAGTGGCTGTGATCTCAGGATAAATACCAGCACTGAAGTGAGGCCCTGCCCAGGCCCCTGGGAACGGACTGCCCAGGGAGAGAAGCAGGGTGAAGGGGTCTGTGATCTGTCCCCTGATTTTCTGGGAGAGGCCAAGACACCCACACCAGCCCCAGGTGGGGCCCAGACCCAACCCAAAGTCCAGTCGAACCCAAACCCTAATGTTAGTTTTGCTTTATGTAGAATGGTGGCCAAGACAGGCATCCTCACCTTAAGCCTCCAATGATTTGTGGGACAGGGTGCTATCCTGACAGCCACACCAACCCCAGACCCATCCTCCAAATTCCCACCTCTATTCCTAACCCTCCTTTTGCCTGTGTGAGATGGGAGCCAAGACAGGTGGCCTCACCCAAAACTTCACCTTACGTCTCCATTTGTTTGTGGAAGAGGGTGACCCAGACTGCCATAGGAGAGAGACCCAGACAGGCCCACCCCAGGCCCCCAACTCGATTCCTAAGCTTCCTTAGGCTTTATGGATGATAGCAGCCAAGACAAGTTCCCTCACCCCTAACAGTCACGTTAAGCCTCCATTTGTTTATGGAAGAGGATGGTCCGGTCTGTCATACCATCAACAGGCCAATCTCAAAACATCCATCTCTAGCTCCAGCCTTCCTTTTCCCTAATGCAAGATGGGACCGAGACCGGCCTTCTAGCTAAGCTTCCTTCTGTGGAAGTTGTTGCTCCTGTCTGCCACACGCACTCCAGACTCACCCTGCAAACACCCAACTCCATTCCTAACCTTCAATTTGTCTATGTAAGACGGTGGCCAGCTCCAACACCCTCACCATAAACCTCCCGCTGGCACCCTCACCATAATCTTTATCAAAGTCAACAGTGAGTTACAATCTGTGTGAGACCTAGAAATTTTATATACTGTGAGAAGGGTGTTTATTTATAGCATCAAATAATCTTGTCTCGTAGCCATAATCAAGGATCTGTGGTAGCGTAGTGGTTACGAGTCGGGCTGTTAACCTCGAGGTTAGCAGTGCTAAAGTACCAGCTGTTTCACAGGAGAAAGATGAGGCTTTCTGCTTCCCTAAAGATTGACAGCCTCGGAAACCCTGTACAGGGTCGCTGTGAGTCGGAACCGACTCCATGGCACATAACAAACCAAGCAACCAATTGCCACAATCATCTTTCTGATGTTTACTTCTAAGTCCAATGCACTTCAAACCAGAAATACTTGATTATGATTAAATATAAGGAAATATATTTTATCTTTCTGTTCTTAGAATCA